GACTTCTCGACTATTAGTCGAAAAAATTGATTTGATATGAAAAGAGAAAGCTTACACCATAAACCATTCATCTCTTTGACGAAAAAATAGCGGCTTCTGTCCACCGTTTGGCTGATGTTTGAAGCGCCCATTCATCATTATTGGACACATAAAGTCATTCAATTAATCAAAGGATGCTTTTTCAAAATTCTTTTTCATTTTTGTTCAGTACATCGCAGAAGTGATATCCCTTTCGAACCTAATTTGTCATATGTTGTTGTTGCCATTTAAAATCACTTATTTCACTTATGATTACTTAGCGATCCCCGAATACTGTATCGTGTCTTTAACAAGTAACATTACTATAGGGGACCATTTGCCTATAATTATGCATATAATGGGTTTTCAGAATAAGCTCTTATAAGGCAAGTGGTCGATAAAGAAAATCGTTAAAAGCGTCCGCCTTTGGGCCAAAAGACGTCATTGTAGCAAATTTTAACAATATAATTCAAAAATTGTTGCTTGCAGCCCGTAGGTTGAACGCAAGAAAACAAGACGAACAGATGGACAGACAAGGTCAGATCGATTCAGAAAGTGATTCCGATCGGTATAATAAAAGTAACTTAAAACCTCATTGCATGACGAGTGGTGGAGGATATAAAAATGTGAACGTGAAACTTTCGCATTGATTCCTGTTACAAAAACTTGTGTAGAACAACATAAGAAGAAAAAGACGACGACGAATAAGAAGTAATACAAACCTATGCAAAAACCTTTCCATCTTACGTACTCTCAATACGTAGAAAATGATTGTATTGAACAGTGATAAATATTTTATCTTTTTTTTCTTTGAAATCCACTTAAAGTTTAATGAAGACATTAGAAAAAATACGATAAACAATGTTTGTTATTTGTTGCGTTCATCTCATGTTCATCTAAAACAGTTTATTAGAAAAAGATTACGAAATTATATTAAAATCAATTCGAAATGCGATAAATTTCAAAGCCAAGCAATTAATTTTTTCTCTTTTCTTTTTTTTTTTTAAGTATATTCGTACCTTTAATTAAATATAATCTTTATTAATGGTGTAGTGTTTTCACAGATATCATCAATAATACAGTCAATCAATGCAAAACGAATGAATGCATAGCTAATTAATAAACAGGCAGCTACGACAAAGAAAATTTTGCATAAATATTTCGTAACTTTACTGTAAATAAATAAATAATGATGGAAAATAATGTTTTGTCATTTACCCACCAAGCAAAAAAATTTCAAATCAAGCGTAGAGCTTTAATTTGAGCTACAAAGGGGTCATAAGAACCCTTTTTGCCGCTCTTTTAACTTTATTGTAAGAGTGAAAGCGTGAGATTGCAAATCGCCTCAGCTCTGCTTGCCGGCTTGAACAAATTGATTTATACGGATGTAAAAATCATTATCATTGCTAAAATACATCCGTATAAATCATTATCATCGCTAAAATATTTTTACCTATTACGCAATCCGGCTGCGTCAAAAAGTGACGAATTAGTAAAAAAATGAGATTTTTTTTTTGTTACATTATTCCAGTGTTTTTGTTGTATCATTCGACTTTCTCTAACTTCATATTACAACGCAAAATGTTCTTAGCAATTTGTTTATCTAATGCATTGAACGTTTGATAAATTTCATGACAATAAACTACAGGATAGTACAAGTGTTTAAGGGCTCCTTCTCCTAGGTGTGCATTTTACGTTATGATTTAATGCCTTTTGGTTTCGCTTTCGACATAGTTTCATTCACTTATGAATTAAAGTGAACGTATATTAAACTTTCAAATGTCGCCATTTTTAATAATTAGGACAACAATGCGCATGGAACGCATTCTTCCGCTCAGCGACGTTATTGCCTACATCATATTTCTCAATAATTTTTTAAAGTTTAATTGAAAACTTTAAAATATCATCGTTTCAAAGTCAAAACTGACGTGATATCGGACCAAATTGATAAAATGACATGTTCACAATACAACGCCAATTGAGAACACATATGCTTTCACAAGCCTAAAAAAAAAAATAAAAAAAAAATATTGTTTTTCGTCACTTTTAATCAGCATCATATACCGGTATATTCTGCAAATGGTTCTACAGTGCAGGCACAAAAATGGAGAAATCGCTTTTCGCGCTTTTTCTGCCTATGCTTTGTAACGATAAGGCAAATAATTTACATTCGTCGAGAAAATTAAACAAGTCTTTAGCAATCGTTAACTCTTGGGTGATTGATAACACGCTTTGCTTTAACTTCAGCAAGATCAAGGATCTGTTCTTCAATTCTTCCCGTGCTGGGTCATCTAACTTCAATATAAAAATATATGGGTGTCCTAGTGATCTTATAGATTCAGTGGAATGTCTTGGAGTAACTCTTGGTCGCAAACTCAAGTTTGGTTCCCATATTGACAATGTCTCTGCTAAAGCCTCTCTAATCCGTCTGTCAAGCCGTGTATTTCGTTAGTGGTAAAGATCGATCATTATGGAATTCTTAAAGCAAGATGATTACATTATTGGTCATCTAGCTGACTGGCATACTCACTTATGTTGTAGTTTCATTTTCCACATGAATTGTCTTTATATAAGCAGCTCATAGGCCTTTCAATCTTTGTAGTTATTTAACAAACTGAAGTGAAATCAAACGAAATGTTACAGACTATATATTTTGTTCGAGTTTTCTTCTTCTACACTGCCCAAAAAGGTTTTGCTTAATATAAAACATCGACTTAGAAACAAGGAATGTACTAGAAATTCAAGCTCTCGCACACGGTTAACACGGTTCGCTCCTTATTCAAAAGCGAAAATATATTTGTTAACCCGCATTTCTAAAAGGGATTGCTTCAGTGGTGGACATGCTTGAATGTTGCACTCTTTTATTATATTTTCAGAATGAATATTTCATGTACGTAGTTTTGTATTTATAAATGGTTTCGTCAAATAAGCTAAAGAACCTGTGAAAATATAGAAGGAAAATATAGAAAAAAGCAAGCGAAAATATTATTATGGGCCGGGGCCTACACTTTTCAAGATAATGTATTATATGGAAGGTAATCGAGAACACGAATAGACTTCAATCATTTTCAATAGGGTTCATCCTTAGGCCAAAGAACGTCGTGTATTTCATCAAAATATCTTAAAAATTACGACTTGAAGGCAAGAAAACACAAGAAAGAAATATGGACAGACGGACTGACAATCTAAAATGATTCTACATTAATATGTATAATAAAAGATGGATTTATCTCAAGTTCTATATACATCCGCACAAGCTTAATATACCCTTGGACACACACATATGGTTTAGAGTATAAAAAATTATAAAGGAAATATAAATTCTGACGCGACTTATCTATTGATTCGTAGGAGCAAATCCAGTTTAGAAATTAACTGTAATGCGAACATAAATAAAATTGAAATATTTGATGCTTGTCTCGCATATTTCTGCGCACATTAATATAATATACGGCTATCAAACTATTAAATATTTTTTTACTTGTTTTTCTATTTTTTTTTTTTTTTTGCTTATCAAATGTACATTTGTCTCTTTTTTTTTGCACGTTTAGCGTTTAATTGATTTTGTTTAGATAATTTGTTTAAACATCTAACTGAACGGTTAAGAAAACCGGATATATTTATGGATGATTGGAGACGTTTACTATGTGTTGTTCATATGTAAATGTTATAAACAGATAGATTTTACGGTATTTTTACAGCCATCACCCAGTTGTTAGGGATAAATTAATCTTATTATTGCCTTTATGTGCACAGTTCACTGCATGATATTCATATTCGTCGTAAGAGAGAGAGAGAGAGGTGCTGCGCTACTGTATGTCAATCTACTCGTCCATTTATTGTCAAAGTTATATTCTTGAGTCACAATTATGTAATAGATTTCTAAACCGAATGCCCTAAAATCTTGGAATAATACTTGTACCTAGAAAAGATAAGGTAAATTTTATCGTGTTATCGACTAATTAAAAAAAAAAAAAAACTTTATTCGTTTCTGATATTCATCACCTTTTGTTAGATTATTTTTCCAAATGTATGGCGTGTCAACTGTTTGGTCAGTAATGTCTTCTTGCTAGCGTTTTAGTTCGCCTTAGGGAGCATGATATCAAGTCTTAGGTTAATATTTTTTATATAGGCGTTAAACTGCAAATTTCTTATTTTCACTTTATTTCACTGATTTTTTTTAAAATGTTTCTGATTAGTGACACACACACTTTGCGAGATGTTAATGTAAAAGTCGATGTAAACGTCAGTTAAAGTAGCGCAACACAATACGAAACGGGCTACTGACCCGGCTATCATTAACAAAGAACTATGGATTCCATGCAGAATAATAACAAAGGCAATCGACCTGAGTCAGTTTCCATTATAATATTTCTTTACTTAATGTTAATAATAAGTAGGTTCTTATGAAATATTCTCGCAATTTGTTTTATGTATTTATGTATCTATGTAATCGCACGTAAATTTCTACTTAACTGATTATATTTAATGCGTAAAATTATATTGACATAAAGTAGTGATTAACCATTCCTTCAATGTATGGTATTGTTTGAATGTTTATGTTGCCGTGGACATAAATTTCCGTGTATTTAAGAATATAATTTGAGCACATTGTTAACTGATTACACATAATGTTTTTCGCTTAAACGAACGTGCATACGTAAAGCTGGGTTTTACGCAAGCAAAACAAAAACAAAAAAAAAAGAAGAAAAGAATGCAAATTACGAAATTCTTTTTTTGTTTTTTTTTTCTTATTTTTTTATGATCATTAAGAAAACAATTGAAGGTTATGTTCCTCTTTTAAGCCAATTTCAAGAAATTGAAAAAATTTTCGTTGAGTTATTCATTGTTTCAACTATAGGCAGAGTTAAGCTTATCGTTAGGCTTAACGTTCAATCGTGTCATTGGTTGGAGCTAAAATTGTTGCTTCAATTTACTTGAAAATTTTTTAATAAAATTTTTTTTTTACATATTAATTACAGTTGCTTGACAACACCCTCCCATCTGTTACGCATACCCGAGGATCTTGAAACTAATTCTTTGAAAGCTTTACAATTGGAGAGAGCGCGCTCGTTAGCCTTATGTGATGATAAGAGCGCTTCGAATGATACCGCCAATCAATATGATGTATGCCCGCCAAGTAAATACCGTTTGCCTACAGCCGAATGCAATAATGTGTCGCATAGGAAGTGGGGCGCCCGCGGTGATATGTTTCTACGCTTACTAATACCGGATTATGCGGACAATGTCAGTCAACCACGTTCTTCCCACAGCACACATGCCCTGCCCGATGCTGAATACATAATCGATCAATTACAAAGGCATTTTGATGCTGAAACGCGTCATCCACACATAACAGCCATGTTGCCAGCTTGGGGGCAACTTCTCGCAAATGATCTCTATGAGGTTGCTCAACTACCTATGAAGGGCAAATGCTGCGCCGATACCCGATCACGCAACCCACAAAAAATGGAACAATGTTATGTACGAATGGGTAACGAATGTAAAGAATATCGCCGTTCAGCGCCGACTTATGACGACGAAATATGTAGTAAAAGTAAGCGTAATTCAATGTTCAAAGTTTTGCGATTAATTTTTTCTTCCATTTTTATATATTGACATATATTTCTCATAATATTTTAACATACACTTAATGAAATTCTAAGCATCACTTATGTTATATCCCTAAGCCCCTTTTTGTGTCTTCCAAGTTTTTCTACGCATTTCTTGTGTTTAATATGAATAAACTGCTATATCTTATGTGCTTGATTAAATTGCTTTTCGCTCAAATCCGCTCCTCCCAATGGTACATACATATAGAAACATGAATCAGATTTGTTGTTGAACAAAGTTCTTTTCTAATGAAAATTTTTCGATTTTCTTATATTCTAGATAAGCGGGAACAAATGAATATTGCTTCGGCCTATATAGACGCCGGTGGTTTATATGGTTCCACTACGCATGATTTTCAAGATATCCGCACTTTCATTAGTGGTGGAGTTAAAGTTGGATCATGCCGTTATTGTCAAATGTCTGGTGCCACAGGAGCTTTGCATCGCGCTTTACTGCAAAATCATAATAAAATTGCTGAACAATTGGCTCATATGAATAATGAATGGTCTGAAGAGGACATTTTCTTAGAAGCCCGACGCATCGTCATTGCCCAAATACAGCACATTACGTATAGTGAATTTTTACCTTTGGTCTTGGGTCAAGAAAATACTGCTAAAGAAGGTTTAAGGTAAGTATTGCCCATAATTACCATCCAACTGAGATAAATTAAAATTATGTTTATACATGCTTTAGACTTACTGCCGAGAAACACGCAACCAATTACTCGAGTACAAATCATGGCGGTATTTACAATGAATTCGCCTTCAGTGCTATGCCAGCTTTTTTAACTATGTATCCACCAGAAATGGTAAATATGATCTAAATCTGATGGCTCTTTCATTCTTTTGTTCAAAAAAAAAGAAAATGCGAGGAATTTTGTACAGAAAAATCGTCTAATTAATCGCCACTAACGTAGAAATGGATATATGAAAGTTTCCAGTTACTCATCAAATAGTTTATTTACAACCAACATTTCTGACAGTTTTGATCGAATTTGTTCTGCTATTATTGTCATCGATGATAGTGGAATAAAGAATTTGATTTAAGTTTGTATTTACGACAAAATTTCATGGGTAAAGCGGCCCACCATTCTATGACCTACACCACTTCGCTTATGCCAGTTATTCATACAGTGAGCTTTCAAAATAATGCCTTGTGTGGAAAATGGTCAAACCACTTCCCACAGCATACAATTTTGGGCAAAAACAAATCAAAAACTGCTGCAGTCGTAGGTTGAACCCAAGAATATCAAATAAACAGATGGACAGACAAGCTTAGATGGATTCAGAGACACAGCTTTGAAATTTGTTTCATTTGATCAAGCAAATTTTGTATCCAATGAAGAATAAATCGCATAAGCTCTTTCTCTTCTCGCAACTCACATCAATCGATGAAAATCGCAACGAAGTTGAAGAGAGAAAGTGAATGCAATCCGAAAAGTGCCCATAAAAATTAAGCCGCTTCTTACAGAACTTATTTGGAAAGAAATTTTAAAAATTTTGGCGATTAATTGTGGCGAATAATTCATACAATTCCAGATAGATTTCTCAAAAGTTTTATTTTCTATCTGAATCAACCTGTTCGATCATGTCCATTGTCCATTTAGAATAGCAAGTAGAATTTTGAAAATATTTCATTTCTTTTGCAGCTTTCCAGTTCTATGTCAGCGTCGCAATTGTTGTCTGTAGCCGCCTTACAAAAATCTTTAATACCTTCAACAACTAACGAAGAAGGTTGGACTGATTTAGCTTTAGCTTTACATCGTGGTCGAGATCATGGCATACCGTCTTATGTGGAAGCTTTGGATATGTGTGAGCAACCTTTTGCCCTCAATGCTAATATATCTTTTGATAATTTGGCAAAATATTCCAACATCCCCGAAGAACATATAACCGTGTTAAGGGACATCTACCAGTAAGGCCTATACATATAATAATTTCTAATTTTTTTTTTATTAATTTATTTGCTTTATAACTCTGCCAAAATAGAACTGCGGCAGATATTGATTTATTAACCGGTTCTTTACTGGAAGATCCCGCTGTCGGTGCTTTATTTGGTCCTACCGTCACATGTTTGCTGTCTTTACAATTTGAACATTTAAAAAGAACCGATCGCTTTTGGTACGAAAATGATATTCCGCCTTCATCTTTCGATTTGGATCAATTAAAGGCGATAAGACAGACTTCTCTGGCCGGTTTGTTATGCGTTTCACATCAAGTCAAAGAGGCTCAGTCAAAAGCATTTATCAGAAAGGACAATTTCTTGTAAGAATTTGAACCTTTTTTCACCCATGAAATTTTCACGAGATCAATTATATATTAATATTTTAGGAATTCAGTTTTAAATTGTGATCAGATACCAGAGTTTGATTTAAAAGCATGGCAGTCCCATGCAGAAGATACTTCACCCATAGAACATACGGAAGTCGAGCCAGAAGTTAAAGAAGTGATAAGTGAATTAAATGGTGATTTATTGGAAGCAGCTATTGAACGCGCTAAATATGAGATGGAAGAACGTAAACGTTTTGAATATGAATCCTGGTTGGCACGTGAGTTTTTTAAGTTTGCTTCGAATCTAAAGCTAGATATTAACTGGTGAAATACTATTTTAGAGGGCGGCATAAGTGCTAAGTCTCCAGACGGAGTGGCGGCTTCGTTTAGCAAGGCCAACCGTAATGCGTTATCATTGGCGAATTCGTCTTTAATGTATGAGTTGGCCTCTAATGAAATCCTAAATACTTTATCATCAATAAACCGGCGTAAACGTCAAGTGATCGATGGCAATTTGAATACATTCACTCGTAATGAATTAACTGAAAGTTTACAAGCCCTACAAGCCCTTGAGATAACGGGATTTTTACGCGCGAACCATGGTAGACATGGCCATCAGTTGGAATGTGACGATGCTCCTGTAGCTTGTGATACTAAAACATCGTTCCGTACAATTACTGGTTATTGCAACAATCTGCGAAATCCGAATTGGGGTAAATCATTGACGACGTTCTCACGCTTATTACCGGCTCAGTACGATGACGGTATCTCTAAGCCCAAGCAATTATCCGTAACTGGTGCTCCATTACCTAATCCCAGGACGGTATCTACTGTCATCCATCCCGACATATCCAACTTGCATACACGTTATTCTTTAATGACCATGCAGTATGCCCAATTCCTTGATCATGATGTTACTCTAACACCCATACACAAAGGCTTTCATGAATCGATACCCAGCTGCCGGCGTTGCGATTCTCCACAGACAGTACATCCTGAATGTAATCCTTTCCCTGTGCCAGCCGGAGATTATTACTATCCCGAAGTAAACGTAACCAGTGGAGAACGTTTGTGTTTTCCCTCAATGAGATCGTTACCAGGGCAATTAACCTTGGGACCGCGCGATCAAATTAATCAAAACACGCATTTCTTAGATGCGTCCATGATTTACGGCGAGAATCCCTGCATAGCTGCCAAATTACGAGGATTTTCAGGACGTCTTAACTCTACGATACATCCTATCAGAGGCAAGGAATTATTACCTCAAAGTAATTCACATCCCGAGTGCAAGTCCCGAAACAATCTCTGCTTTATTGGCGGCGATGAGCGCGCTTCCGAACAACCAGGTTTAACCGCCATACACACAATATTCTTGCGCGAACACAATCGCATTGTTGAAGGCTTGCGAGGTGTAAATCCTCACTGGAATGGCGATCAATTGTATAACCATGCCCGCCGTATTGTTGGAGCTCAAATGCAGCATGTAACCTACAATGAGTTTTTACCGCGCATACTAAGTTGGAATGCGGTTAATCTATACGGATTGAAATTGCTACCTCAAGGCTATTACAAAGACTACAATCCATCCTGCTCGCCAATAGTATTTAACGAATTTGCCACAGCAGCTTTTCGTATTGGCCATTCCTTGCTAAGACCTCATATCCCTCGATTAAGCCCACAGCATCAACCAGTAGACCCTCCAATATTGCTACGAGATGGCTTTTTCAAAATGGATATTTTACTCCAGGTGCAATACTAAAAAATATATAAATTGGAAATAGAAATAGAATTCAAGTCACTGTTTCTTTGCAGCCGGGTATTATTGATGAAATTATGCGTGGATTAGTGGCTACACCCATGGAAACTTTGGATCAATTTATTACCGGTGAAGTGACAAATCATTTATTTGAAGACCGAAAAATACCTTTTTCAGGAGTGGACTTAATAGCTTTGAATATTCAAAGAGGTTTGAACAAAGAAAGAAAGCATTTTTACTTTTGTTTAAGTTATCTAAAATCTCTTTTCTTTCCAGGACGTGATCACGGTTTGCCTTCTTATAATAATTATAGGGCTTTATGTAATTTGAAACGTGCCTCAAATTGGAACGATTTGAGTCGTGAAATACCTAGTGAGGTGATAAATCGCTTTAAGAAAATCTATTCTACCGTAGATGATATTGACCTCTTCCCTGGTGCCATGACCGAGAGGCCGCTGCAAGGTGGCTTAGTAGGTCCCACTTTGGCCTGTATAATAGGAATACAATTCCGCCAATTAAGAAAATGTGATAGATTTTGGTAAGACATTTTGAAAATTCGCCTCTGAAATTTAATATTAAACCTTGTGTTCCTCCTGAAGGTACGAAAATCATAGTGCTGAAGGGAAATTTACTGAAGCTCAGCTGGCTGAAATACGTAAAACCACTTTAGGTAAAATAACATGCGAAAATTTGGAAATACCCGGTGATATGCAAAGGGCTGCCTTCGATTTACCCAGTAATTTCTTGTAAGTCCTGAAGAGCATAACGGCCTGAATTTAATTACATTGTAGTGCAATTTTTCATCTCTCATCTCTTAGGAATCCCCGTGTGCCTTGCCATTCGATGCCTCAGATCGATTTAAGTGCTTGGCGTGAAAATGTTCAAGGTTGCCAGATAGGTAATCGTCATGTGAGAGTAGGAGAATCGGCTTTACCGTCACCGTGCACCAGTTGTGTTTGCTCTAGCGAAGGGGTAAACATTAATTACATTTACTTTCTATAGATTTTTTTTTAAATAATAGCTTGTTTGCTCTGTTCCCTAGACGCAATGCGCATCATTGCGTATAACCGATTGCGGTCAACTGATAAGACAATGGCCGAAAGAGGCGATTTTACGGGATGAAGTATGTAATTCACAGTGTGGCATTTACTTAAGTGGTAGTCAGGGAGGTGGTGGAGGTTTCAATGGCCAATCTAGGCAAAGGCAGATAACACCACCTGCGCGTGTACAAAGATCTCGGCCACAAAATCTATTTAAATTTCCTGATCTAACACCTTTTATAGCAGCGCTGTAAGAGCTTTAAAAAGAAAAGAAAAAAAAAAGAAAACAAAAAAAGAGAAATACATATAATTTAATAATAATAAACATTAGCGAGAAATATCTGCAAAAGCAACAAAATCAATCATGTCCGCCACTAGCAATATCAAGGAAATTAATAATTTTTGAAATTTAGTTAATTATAAAATAAATAAAAAATTAATTGTATATAAAAAATAAGTTACATGATTAAGGTTACAAGCACTTTCTTTTTATCTTCAATATTTATTTTTTCTTTTTTTTTTTTTTTATTTTATATAATTATTATTTTTTTTTTTTTTTTTTTTTTTTTTTTTTGCGATATGTAAACCGACAAAGACTTATATGTGCGCTATACATATAAAATTAATAATTTTATGATTTTTCTTGTTAAGATTAAACAAAGAAGCTGGAAATTGTCTTTCTCAACGTGTTCACTAAGAAAATTAAAAAAGTTCCAGTTACACTAGATATTTTATTATATTATTTTTAGTAGAACTTTTTTTTTGCTAAAAGAATTAATTCGCAACGAATTTCTGCCGTTAGCGAAAAAAAAAAGTTATTTTTTATATATTATTGTTAAGTATTTTACGTGCATTTTTATGCTTATTTATTAATTAATTATAATTACTTTATAAAAGAAAATAAAAAAAAAAAATATGACAAGAAATATTATATTAGAAATTATTTTGCGGTGACGTAACAACCCATTTTGGAAATTTTCGGAATTCACGCGTTGCCCGAGTAATTGATAAGCATCTACAATTTCCCTTAATATTAATATTAATAATATTTGTGTTTGGGTTGGAAATCCCCGCCGAAACTTAAAAGCTATATTGTGGTCACCCGTTTTAGGAAAATCTTATAAATTCCGACATCTTCTCTGGTCCGAAGCACCATACTGTGGCTGGCGTAATGACGTATCGCTCAAACCACCGGTGTCTTGCCTATTGTCTGATTTTGCAGATGACCGCGCATTCGCATAGTATATGATGGAACAATTTTTTCGTCGTCCCTTAGCCGAATCTGCATAAATCGGTATAAGACATAACTACATTTTTCAAGCATGTAACTCCTCCATGGTTTTAATACCCTGTGTGCTATGTCAAAAGATTTTACAGATCTTTTTTCTATGTCTATTACGATACCAACCTGCGAAATGGCTACTTCCGGATGTTCCTTCGGGCTTTCCTGTTGGTTAGCCGCTCAGCTTTTTCATTGTCTTCGATATCCGAAAGGTCGGGTAGCCGTAATAAGTGCACTTCACTGCGCTTACCCAGCTAATCCAAGGTATGACAGCGCGCCAACCTAGCTTACAATTTCAGTTAATCAAAGGGATTCTATTTACGTGTTTAAATGTTTAGCGAAGCAAAAAATTATAGAAACCAATTGTAGTGGGAACGTCAACTTTCTTTTCCTACGGTATACCATTATATACATGTATACCATTATATACATAGCAAAATATAAATAAAATTAATGCAGTCACTAGCTTACTTCATATGAAAAATTGGTCAATGTAACCAAGATTTTTAGATACTTTGAATTATGAAACAAATAGAAAACACTACAGTGGACCCCAGCGGACTATTAAATACTCTGCGCCACTCCACAGTTATTCATATTATGTTTTATGGAATTTGCTTTTAAAAGTGGTTTGATCTAAGACATTTTCAATAGTGGTCGTCCTTAGGCCAAAATATGTCGCTGGGGCCAAATTTATCTCAAAAATTGCTGCCTGTAGGTTGAACAGAAAAAAAAAAAAACAAGACGGACAGAGGGACAGAAAAGCTTAGCTTCAGAAAGTGATTCTAAATCGATTGGTATAATGAAAGATGAATCTATATCAACTCCTTCTGAACGTTGTATACATACGCACAAACTTAATATACGTTTCTACCACAAGTGGTGTTGGTTATAATTGTTCCATGCAAATGCGAGTATGTGAGATGCCCTTGAAAGTGAGGCAAGTCTATTTCCTTTTTAAAAAATTTACAAAACTTACGTTCACCACAAAGTTGTTGCTAGCATTTCGTTAACAATTCTCGCGAGTTGATTTTGAAAGTGAGAAAATTATAACTTATCTACATTACGCTAATAATATTACGCTAATATTTATATTTATTTCATTAGTTATGGTTATATTGCCAACCAACACACATACAGATTCGTATGTACTGCATTTTCCAGTTTATAAACAGTTTAATTACATTAACAATACATTTATAATTGTATTAATAGAATCATTAAATTGATTAAACCATTAATAATTGCTGTTACACAGTCTACCTAGGAAACGGACCGGAGTACATAATAAGCAAATAACTAGTGCGGCAATGAGCAAGTTTTATGGAAAGATTGTCTCCTGAGAACTGTACGTTAAGTTTGAAGAAAGAGGATTGAAGAGGAAGTTTCAACCACGTTTAAATCTGTGCTTTCATATGCCAGGAGAATTCCAGTGGAGAGATGGGACTCCTAGAAAGATCGCATAAAGCAAAACGGGTTCTATTCAATAAATTTGACGTTGGTGATACGTTAGTCAATCAACAACGGAATATTCTAAAATCATATGAACAAGTGCAATATAAGGGCCTTTGCAGTTTTTCTGATTGTTCATTTCTTTTGGACGTATTTTAAAAAAACTGAGACGACTTTCAAAGTGCGCTTAATGATGCTTTCCCGTAGGTGGGAATTAAGCTCTTCAGGGACAATAGTGTTTTCATAATCTTAACTATACCGTTTCAAGTCGCTAAATAATGTTATAGGTGTAGCCAAACCATAAGCAGATGAAAGAAGAAAACTTGCTAATGCTTCGAAAAATAGCTTTAAAAAATCCTTTATATTGAGCAGGTAAGATTAGTGACTACCAAGTGAGTGTTCTCGGGTTCGAATCCCCAGCGCGGTAGAATTCACTTTGGTCACAGCAGTAGTAAATGAAAAGTGAAAGACGTAGCACATATAGATTGGGAATGTATCTCTTAGTCTGCGCCCACCACCTCCCCGTCCGTTCCCGTTTTTCACTTCTTCCCGTACGTTACCGTGTCCCACGAATAGGGTACATCGCCCAAGTGATTGATGAAAACTAAAAAAAAAAAAATGCTTGCCTTAGAAATTTTTCTAAGAAAAGCTTTAAAAGAAGAAGAAGTATTTCTTGCGATGTACAATGTAGGATATCTGGCAATCAAATATCGTGTACATATACATAGAACTAGGAATATAATGTGGGCTTAAAAAGGGGACCTTTATGCCAAAACTCAAGGTTTCCATTCCATTTATTACTTTCGGTATAATGGCGATAAGCAAATGGAAAATCTGTTGCATTGGCTTAATGATAAACGCAGGGTGCCGTAAAAGTACACAAAGGAGTGTAGCTGTTTGGAGCTGATTTCCAAGAGACGCAAGTGAATTGGCGATATTTTAAGGAAGTGTACAAAAAATGTTTAAACTTACATTAAGACAATACTTCAAAATTCTAAAGGGTAACTGAGACTTCATTTAACTTGGATTTGAAATAAAACATAGTTTTACAGTGCTAATTTAAGATTTTTTTTTATTTTCATAATTGTTTTTTTTTTTTTCAATTTCATATTGTTCCTCTCTAAACAGTTTTAATACAGTTTTTGTTATTTAAATTTTTATTAAAACATTAACGAAAAGAAATACAATAACATATTTAAGATTAAATCATAAAATAACAGTGACGAATAATTTTAAATATTTACAAAAAAAAAATAATAATAATAATAACTAAAATAATTTATCACGTACACAAATAGTACAGAATTATTTACATATGTTTAATTTACTATATGAATATATATACAAAGATGTCTACAGGATGCGGCGATCAATTCAACTAATTCTACATTGCCTTCAGAATTGGCTTTTCAATTAATTGAATAACTAAATTCGAAATGAAATAACTTCAGTTTTTTGTTTCTTAATCTTTAACCTTTCTCCTCTTTCATTTATTTATATTTTTTTAATTATTAAGTAACTACTTTTTGTAATTTTCTTATTCTTTTTTTTTGACATAGAGAGTGGATTTAATTAATGATTTGAAAAATATGAAACTTTTTAAGATTTTTTTTTTTTTTTTTTAAGCAACGAGTAGAAAAACTACTGTTTTACAAATACAAATCAAAAATGTTTTTAAAAAGAAACATTTTTTTTTTTCTCTTTTTCATACAACACCACAATGTAAGAATCCGATAAAAGCATGTAAGTCTGGGGAATCTCGTGAACTATGTCTATTTGATTTGTGCAGGAAGAAAAGTGCGTTTGGTGTCTGCCTTTTCAATTTGTTATTATTACCTCATAGAACGCTCTAAACGAGGTTATACATCGCTTTAGATTTCACAATTAATGTAAGACATTGAATCCATAAAAAAAAAAAAAATTCATTTTTCAACGTACAAATTTTTCAAATGTACAAATTGCATTTGTACAATCTAAGTAACTGGTACAACACCGATTTACATAAAACGGAACGAATCGAAACGGAGGTCTACTATATTATTGCAATATATATCTATACAAAACGAGGAAAATCCTTGCATTAAAATAAATGGAGCGCTAGCAGTCGAGGCTATCGGCTGTATGCCTTTTCAAAAACCGCTAACCATCACAAAACTTCCTGCCAAGCTTTTAATTTATTCTCAAATTCTGCTCTTTTCTTCCTTTAATGATTTCTACTACGGACAAGTTGATAGGTTTGCTACAGTGAACAAGTTTGCTCCCAAGCTGCAAGTTTGAAGATTTATTTCTTTTGCAATAATCTTTGCACACATTCTCTTCGGACAAGACAATCATGCTGACTTTTAAACACACCAATTTTGTCACTCTTCGTCACTTTTACTTAGCATTAGGTAGGCGTGTACACTTTTATCGCGTTTTAATGTGTTCTGAGACAACATCTTACATAAATCAAGGGATATTTGACTTTTGTTAAATACTATCGTCTACTTCGGATGTTATGGGCGTTTGTGGTAAAGAAAAAAAAAAAAAAAAAAACAAGTAAGTGGTGGGTATTAAAAAAATTCATTCCAAGCCGAATAAATTCTTCAATTTTTTTTTTGATTTTTTATTACAATTGTTTTTCTACTAGTTGATGGTACCCGTTTTATTTCCATTAAAAGTGTTGCGGTTTTTATATAAACGTAAATAAAATGATATTTTCATATACTTATTTCAAATACTAAATACTTTTATTACGATACGAGCTTTATATTTCGTTTTACGACGAAACGAAAATTGACTCCAGTATGGTATTTAAAAATTTATGTCTAATTATTATATTTTACTTAACTTGTTTCTTTCTTTTTGTTAATTTTTGGTTTTTCTACACATTATCGTACATAGACTATAAACGTTAAAAGATTAAGAACTTTTACTTCTACTAAAAAAAAAAAAATTCATTTTCTATATTTTTATTTCTACAATCTACTTTCTCTAACGTATGGCTTGTGGATTATTGTTCAACTCTTTATACATTAAATTCTATAAAATGTTTATATACTGTTTGCGAATTTCATATTGATTTTATTTTGAAACTTTTTAAAAATAAAAACTTTTTTTTTGAAGAGAGAAAAAAAGTGTAATCATATTATACAATACATATATATAAAAGATAACATGAGCAAAAATTAAAGTTTAAGTATATCAAGTATTTATTTATTTTTTTTTTAATAAAGTGTCATTTAAAAATATCATTTTAGCAGACGTTATAGCAAATTTTTTTTTTTTTTTTTTTAATGTGGAAATCGATCGACCGATAAATGGAAAAATTATTTTCGAATGTATTGTTTGCTGGGACCAAAGCATTCGTGTTTCTTCTAAGGACAGAGAGAGCCCACTATCGAAAAAATACCAAACACTCAATGAGAGTTTACATTTGCTTTACTGTATGCTATGCTGGGCTTTATGTAACGGAAAACTTTGAAGACGAATTGGAGTCCGTAAAGTTTACAGAAGATACCGAGAGATATCAAGTCTGGACTGAAAATGTTAGAAGCAATGAAGCAGAGATGGAACCAGCGACTTTCTGCCTGTGAGGCATCGACGTGGAACTTTTCTTTTGCTCGATTGGAGAAAACATTGGCGGATACACATATACTCGGAGATATATGTCATAATTATTTTTCCACATTTTGTTGAAAATGGGCTGGAAAATATGTTAGAGAGCGTGAACGCTGAAACTTTAGATGTGGTTTTGAAACTAAGCATGTCTCGGTGAATAGATATAATGGTGATCTAAATTTGAATTTGAGAAAAATATAGAAATAATGGAAATCTGACGGTTGGGCGTTAATTTCACCTTCAGCTCTAATGCTGAGTTAGCTGTCTTTTCTGTTGACTTCAACTTGAACTGTGACGACGATAAAAATGTAAGTAAAATGAAAGGTCATTCAATCCGATCGCTAGGGTTGGAATTCAATCATTAATTCTTGTTTGAGATTGGGCGCGAAATGAACATAAAAAAATCGCTCGCTTTGCTTTTCGATCGATTTGTTGAAAGACGGACGAATCGGATGGAGGAAAAGAGAAAGGCTCACTTATATCCTGTAAAGATTCACAAGTTAGTCATGTGGATAAAATTGCCAATGTATATTTTTGCACGTTACAAATGGAATGTTAAAGTCAGTACAATCTTAACGTATGTGTTCGCAATGATCATATAAGTTATCGCCATAAGCGAAAAAACTGAGAAGACAGTAGCCATACTGGTCAATAAAACAACGATGACGCATGGTGACAACAGCCAACTACACCTAAATGCAAAATATAGACAGATGTCTTCATATCAGCGGTTTAAAGAAATCGCTTTACGATATTTTATTTTCCTCGCGCCGTCATGACAAGGCATCTACTTTAGCTCTTGCCCCGGAAGTTGATGCAAATCTTCGGTAATGTGTTTTTTAACAAACTTTGTAAAGAAAAGTGATTCTAAGGGCGGAATGCATCCACAATATAAGATTCTTCCTAAAGGTCAACGTGTGAATGCCAATCAGCGTTCACCGGAGCCTACGCATCTTGGTTCAACTTCTTTAAATCCAGATTTAATAACAAATAACGCACAAACGGACAAGGACAGAAGATAATGAAAGATTGGTGTCGGCCAGGTCATAAAATGAACTTTAAATTTCTACTCATGTATTCCTCAAACTCGGACTAATTTTCAAATTATAATCTTACGCTATATCTTTTTGTTTTAGTTTTTTGTTCATTTACTTATCACAAACGGCTGCAACGGCTGCAGTTTGTGGCGCTGTAATTATCGTACGTGCAGTTGATGGCACCGTCTGATTGTTGCCAAGAAGCATCCTCGAAGAATTGCCATTTGTTACTGAGTGACGACGTGACAGCAAATTGGCGGGCAAGTAATTTAAATGACCATTGGTTACCGCAAATGCATTGGTACCGTTAATAGTAACAGGATGGTGATGTAGAGTATCTAGATTGCCTAACTTACCGACAATTTTTGGTATTTTATCACTTTCCGAAAGACTGGAGGTCGTTGATGGACCGCATCCAACTATCGAACTGCCTCCACCTCCGTTACCACTAACAATCCCCCCGACGCTATTGCTACTATGCTGAGCGTGATGATGATGAGAGTTGCAGAGATGATAGCAACAAAGGTGATGGGATGAACATAAACAGGAACTAGGCGGACGACGATATTGTTGATGACTGTGAAGATGGTGGTGGTGACCATAATGATAATATTGCATTATACTCGGATGATGACCGGCACCAGCTATACCGCAATTGGACATAGAAGGTGTACTTTTACTGTGGCTCCTACTTCCGCCAGTCATTAGTTTTAATTCGTTAGCTCCATTTAAGGACGATGTTTTACGTATACGCATACATTCACAATTTCTACAACAGGAACGTAATTTGGGTGGTTTTTGATTTAAATTCTTCAGGTTAGCTGCTATTAATTTGGCTTGAGTTTCAGTGGACGCTCGTTTGGCAGGCGAAGCGGGCGAGCTATCGTCATCTTCGCCAGTAGGGGGTGGGGTAGATAGTCGACTAGAGGCAGATGAATAACATCCATCAGATTGATGATCATAGCTAGCCTCAGAGCAGTCATTTTGGTCTTGACTCTCCTCATTAACATCAAGAGCATCAGCCTCATCAATTAACTCTGCACTTTCATAAGAGTTCATAGCTTCGAAATTTGAAGCATTTTCACTCTCTGTAACTTGCTTAGGAAGGCCATTGCTTTTGCTGGTTTTCGTTTGAACTTCTTCAGCTAATTCGACCCAGTGCTCACGATTATCGCGAACACCTTCAACTAAAGGCTCCAATTTGTCGGAGAGTTGAGCAAAAGCCTTCATGAAGTCAATAAGAAAATATAGAGAAAGTTTAGAGCATGACGCGAGGACAGAACGTTTGATTTTATGCGGTCTAATTTTCATAAGAAATCTTAAAATTGTATTTAAATGTTTAGAAACTGTATTGTACATAGGGCACTATGGTATTCTTTGCTCACATATGCAAGATTAAAATCTTGATTTTGAATAGATGATAGTTGTAAGAGACTTTAAAGTAAAAGGCTTACCTCATAAATTGGCAAACATATAGATTCTATAAATCCTACTTGCATCATGGGAAGTTCATCTTCCTTCTCGCGATTCATGATATCCTAGAAAAAAAACAGAAAGTGGAAGCCTTTAGCTTAAGTTTTATCTTCGTCGAATTTATAGAACCTACTATGGGTGTAATATTTAATTCTTGCTTCTCCATGTCACCTTGTTCAAAAAATTCTGAGCTAACCAAATCTGCTACTCGCTTCTCTATAACCCAAGGCTTAGTTATTGCAGACAAATCGCATACTGTCATGCTCATGGCCCTTAGTAAAGCTCTAGGCTCTTCGTCCAACCAATAATTTAATGGCTGGTCTTGTACGCATTGCAGGAAAGTACCACGTTTTCTATTAAGTATTCATTAGGTTAAGCCAGAGTTGCATTTAACTTTTGAAATAAAAGAAACACCTCAGATATACTGCCAAGTCTGTAGATAGTATGGCATCTTCCAATACTCTGACAACGCGACAATAATCCTCGGAGGATAAATTAGCTAAAATTTGATTACCAGGACTATTTAAAATCATCAAGCACTGATCAAAATGATGATGTTCCATGGTTGAGGTGGAATACAATTGAGCCAGTGGTGAAGATGCTCTATACAAAATGGTTTTCAAGTAAATTTTGCATTGATTTTTCAAAAAATCTTACTTACTTGATTTGAAATGAATTATTCGTCCCCCGATGATCGAGATCATGGCAGAGACAAGCTATGATCAGTGCTAAGCATTCAATTTCTCCAAATATTTTCCACCATTGCGTTGCCTGATAATAAATTTTTGTGTAACCATAAGTATTGAAAAATTGAAAGAGAAAATAATAAATATATATCCTTACCGTCAGTATGGCGAACATCATTTGCGCCACGTTAAAGGCATGTCGCCAATTGTGATAAGTAACATTGCGATAGTTTTTCTTAACACTCAACAACCAACGGCACAAAACTTCATAATCGATATGAAAGCGCTCTACAAAATCCAAGTCGAGAAACATACGTAAGCAAGCCTGCAGTAATAGGGGAGAACAGAAAAATCAATTATTTGTTATTTCTTATACAGCTTCGACATTGTATCTAAAACGTGCATATTACCTTCAAGGTGTCATCATCTTCGAAATGTATATCATCGAAACGGAAATCATGTAAACGGAAGTGAGCTGCCGATGGTACTCGCAAACGCTATTACGAAAGAAAGAAGTAATTTTAAACTTATTTACCGCAAGAAATATTAGTATGTTTCAATGCGCTTATGCAATATTTCAGTTTTCTATTTTGTAAAGAAAAACAGATTATATACTGCGACTCCATAAATCGATAAAAAATATATTTATTTCAAAATATATCAATAGAAAGAATTCATCAATAGTTAAAGATAAATACAATTAAATTTATTCGAATTATAGTTGAAATCTTAACGAAACGTCAGATTCGTTGAAATTCCCTGCTCGTCGCTGGTCATTGGTGCTTAGATGCTTAAACTGTTCAAGAGATTAGCACTAGAACTGATTGCTCAAATACCATATCAATATCATCGTAACTTTCCACCACCGACACATCCGAAAGTACCATAAATTGCTATACCTTTCAATTACGCTCTTATACCTTCAAGAAATGTCGATCCATCACCCAATCACACTTTTACGCTGCATTTTCCACTATTTCCCCCTTCTCTACATCAATACTATCCAACTCTCGTTCAGCACTCATCACTATTGTCTTCATCAGCCAACGCAAATGGCCGCACAGCTTTGGAATCCTTATATCTTCCGTTCGAACAACAAAAAAAAAAAAAACAGCTCCTTTTAATTTCGCTGCAAGTTGTTCGCCATGGACAGTTTTATCAACAGAAAGCAAAACCGCTGCAGCTTACAGCGCAACCCCACAAAAACCAGCCGGATCGAAGGTGGCAGCAAATTTAGTTTAAATACTACAACCTAAGGCCCGAAACCACTTCTACCCGATCCATAGAAAAATTCAGATTTTAATAACGGTATATATCATATCCCACAGCAAGGGATTTTTGCCCAACGAAACGCTCATCGTTCGCGCCTCGTGAACTTCTTAGTTGTTATCACACCTCACAAAAGGTGGGAGAAATCTTTTCGCCCTTGACTCGCGATTGAACTTTTCGAATTTAACATTACTAAGTGGCTTTACTCCTCATCCCTCCGAATCAAGCTGTTTTTTTATGAGTCATTTTCTGGAAAATGCTAAATGAATAGACTCTTTTTTTGCTTAAAAATGTCAAATGACAAAAATATCAAAGGCACACTTTTTGTGAACATTTTTAAATTTTTATCATTGACAGCGAAAGCAAGTAGCAAACTTATGGTTAATTTCGGGCGCAATATACTTGTTGGCAATGGGTCGATGATGGCCATTTCGTTGTGCTAGGCTTTAAAAAATACTTATAGCACAAATAAAATATATTTATAGCTGTGGATTTAGGTCAGTTCGTCTTATAAGCCGTAAGTCTCAGTGAATTTTTTGTGAGCTGGTAACCATTTTGACAAATTGCGCTTATATTTAAAACTAATTTGTGGTGGCCAACTATGTAAATAAATTTTCAGCTTGTAGTCTCAAATTTTGAACGTGACAAAAGGCAGGCAGGCAGACTTTGTTAGCAAATTTTCCACATCAATCTAACATATCGACATACTATTAGTCAGAACGTTTACCACAAATACTACAAAGTTGTGCAAACAGGCAGGTGTACAGGTACTACAGCAACGTATATGCGTTCAAATTTTTGTACATTTATCTGCTCCCCTTTATGAGTAACGATCAAAAATACGATATTTTATTCTTTTTGAAAAGCAGATGTGCTCTCATTTCACGTAGCACTGTAGGCATAGGCTTCGATCCATTTTACCCACCTTCAATACTAAACTGTGTGTAATAACTTCCAATGTTTCTGATAAATTTGAAATCGTTAGTTTAATTTTTGCGGCTCCGTGAATGGCATCATATAGACGGCCAGAGGAACACGGTTAAATCAATCCGGAATTTTATGCTGATCACGGATGTATATACTTTGTGGGGTCGCTGAATTTTCCGTCTGGGCGTGGCAGATGTTTTAACAAAACGAATATCTTTCATTCATAGGTCTCTTACTTATTGTACAAGCAGCTACTCCGCAGCATTAATGTAGCTGGAGCTATGATACATTCATGATATGGTCGTTCAAAAATGGATCCCTTTATTCAATTAAGGCCGTCGTGTATGCCGTAAAGTACTAGGCTTTTCAATTTGAAAAATGACCAAAATCTAAGCATGCTGCATACCATGTATCGTGTACCATGTATTTGCGTGGATGTGGAACGTGAAAACTAATAGCATAAAATTCAAGTTTTTGCTTTCATAAATGCAAAGATACCAAGCTTAACTTTTTTGAAAAAAAAAAAAAAAAAAAAAATTGGTTTTCATTGTTTCCAATAAAACTTGACAAGAAATCGGAAACGGACATTTTTTGCTCTGCTGTTTCATAATTAAATTTATGCAAAGATATCCTAAATGCCATTTTACGTAATGGGAAACCAAAATTGCTTTTTAATTAATACGTCAAAGCAAAAACATTGCAAAAATGTTCTTATCGTTTGTACATAAATTAAATTTAATCACTTTTGAAAAAATCGAAACTTAATTACAAGTTTCTATGATATTTATGCTTTTTTGGCAGAGAGGAAACACTGATAGCAAGCAAAAAAAAAATGGTAGAAACATGAATTTAATAAAAATTATCTGTCGATTAAACCGAAATTCTTATTGCTCATCGTTTGCTTGGTGCCTTTAAACAAGTGAAGAACACTATAGTGGGGCGCAACTCACCATTAAATACCCTTCATCAGCCTACATCTATTCATATATTGACAGGGCGTTACATGGGAAATGGTCGAGAGAGTGGTCCGATTCGCACCATTTTGTATAGCTTTCGTTGCTAAGGCAAAGCACATCAGTGTGCTAAATTTCATCAAATTATTTCATATTGACCATGGCCTGTGGTTGAACACAAGAAAAGAAAATTGTTAGAGCAGCGGACAGACAGATAATCTTAGAAAATATTGATCTAAGAAAACGTGGGCCTATCTCAAATCCTCAATAAGCCATTATGGCACAAGTGGTGTAGGGTACAATAAATACTACCTCAATACAAGCACACGGAAAATACTTTTAGGGGATGGCAAAATGAAACGAAGATTAATTCAAGGGATTAGAAGATCTAAGATAGAATCACTTTAAATACCGTTGTCATGAAAACAATACAATAGAATGGTAATTAACGGTGAGCCTGCAGTAAAAAGCAGACATTATTTTATAAAATAGTATCAAGAGATAGATAAAAAAAAAAGTGAAGATTGTTACAGAATACCGGAAAGGGTTTTCAAGTTACTAGTTCCAATGGTATTTCTCGCTTTTCTTTCCTCTAACCGCGTTATAATAAAATGGATCTAATAAATCAATATCGTATATTTTGACAAAAGAATAGCAAAATATGTTTCATCTAATATGCAATCTTCTTCCTCTTCCAAGCTCCTTAAAATCATAATATATTGCGTTATGCACTATGGTAAGTATGGGGAAAAAACCGTCATCCACCCATATCTTTAAGTCAAAATTTAATGTTTTCACTTATAAATAATTTAAATTTTGCTTGAAATACTTGGTTTTATCAATACAGTTTTTAATAATTTATTCACTAAAACTTTAAAGGGATTTATGTAAATCATATTATAATATGAACACTTTTCTGGCTCTGGTCCCTTTTTACTTTTTCTCGTTTTATACGCCAACACTTGTTTTGTAAAACTTCTTGCTTTATGAATAGAACTTACCCTTAAACGATGAGCTTCATCTATTGTTGCTGAAGCATGATAACTGAGCACTTCTAAGGTAACGCTTTGTTTGGCCATCGCAGCAATAGCCTTTTCATACATGTGCGTATTATGTATACCCATCCCACAGAAAATGGCAAATGCTTCCACAAAATTTTCGTCGTTTTTAGTGAAATCCTATTTGAAAAATAAACTTAATTATAAACAATTTTTAATTATATTCTTCTTTTGATCCCAACTGACCAAATCATCAAATTTATTGATTAGCTGTATAACACCAATAATTTGGCCTAATGAATTTTTGATGGCCATACATAAAATTGTCTTGTGTTTAAAATTAGTATTTTCATCCACACTAGCATCAAATCGATCATCCTCATAAGCGTTTGGTATATTAACAGTCTTCCCAAAAAAAGTAATCAAATTTTATAAGTAATTAAATTTATATAATATTGATACAAATATTGTATTTACCTCGCCAGTAGTGGCCACATAGCCAGTAATACCTATGTTAATAGGAAATCGTGATTCAAATGGACTTGTTCGATCTGTAGAAGCTTCTCCACTCAAATCGTCAGCCTCAAAATCGAATACACGTGAAAAACTACCCCTTGATGCTTCATGCACCAACAATATTTGTACTCTTTGGCATTGTATTAAACTTTGCATATGCGTTAGTATGCGAAAAACCATATGTTCGATCGTACTTTGCTCTTCAAATATCATTCGCGCCAAATCTAATAATACCTGATTCCGCTTAATTTCCAATTGTGATTTCTCATATAATTGGGCATTGCGGAGACCGATACCGCAAAATTGTAAATAGGAGGCGAACACCTTAAGGAATGGATATAAAAACAAAATTATTCGTTTAGTTGCCAAATCATTATTGTTATTATCATTTTTGCTAAAAATGTTAATAAATTAATTCACTTTAAAAAGGAATATCAAATGAATCATGAATGGGAAAAGCAAGTAAAGCATTACAGCGGGCCATGGTCCACCATTAGAAACCCCATACCGCTTCGCTTAACGTAGTTATTCATGGGGAGACTTTTCAAAGTAACACATTATAGGGGAGGTGATCGAAAAAGTCTTCCTATCCGAACCATTTTTAAGAGAATTAGCGCTGGAGCCAAAATACGGCGGTTTGCCAAATGTCATCAGAGTATCTCGAAATTTGTGACGTTTAGGTTGAAGACAAGAATATCGTACGAACAAATGGATGGAGAAGTTTAGATCGATCGGTATAGTGCCTTTTCCAGTCATTTATGTAATTCCATCCTTGTCTAGACAAGGAGAGTGCTAACTTTCGATCGGTATAATAAAAGATGGGTCTATCTCAAGCCCTTCTGGGCGTTGTGCATGTCCGCAAAACTTGATGTAGCAGAAGTGATGTATATTCTTAGCCATCATTTCGATAATTATTACCCTGACAGTTCTTATTCTGTCGTGAAGTCATGAAGCAAATACAAAAAGAAGTCATTACGGGGAGAGTAAGAAACCAGCATTGGCCTCGAAAAATACCTTAAGCTAATGCATACGAAATTATAATATTTCGTTAATGACCGGGGATGACAGCTAAGCCATGGGGACTTTCACACTGTGCGCTTACACAGTTCTGGAAATTATTTTTTGTATCAAGTTTTATGATATTGTGATCGATCCATTTTGAGACTTGATGCATTATCTGTGCCAAGTAAACCATGTGAGCCGTTCTTTCATTGAACTCAGAATATTTTATTACGAGAACATTTGATGAAAGTGAATCATGAAATAAATTTACGTTAGTAGCAATGTACCATCAAAATGCACTATTTATAAGTATACGAATTTGAAGGAAGAGATGCGGACTAGAACAATTCTATTGTGATCAAAAAATAAGGTCAATTCTTTTATAAAATTAAAAATATGCTAATAATAAACGGAGAGAACCGTCAACTTGATCGTGAGGGCATAGAAAAAAATTCATGATTTCATAATACTCGTGAAGTTTAAATGGAAAATTCTTCTGCGCCACTTGTGCTATGTATATGTTAAGTTTATGTGGACGTATGCAACACCCAGAGGGAATTTTATTACCTTGTCGGTCCGTTAAGTATTCTTGCGTTCAAAATATCGGTCGCAATTTTTGGGATATTTTGTTGAGACTTTCGTACTTACGCGTTTTGGGGTAAGGGCGAAACCTATTGAGAATGGTTTCGATCGGTCCACTTATTCGACCATTTTCCATATAAAGCCGTTGTATAATTAACTGTGGGCGGGTGTAAGGTCTTTAATGGCGCTCTATAGTGTTTTTGCTTGTTTTTTATTCACAACTTTTTATATGGAAAATAATTTGCATATAATACTGTTGTTCGGACGAAAAGTTAAAAATAATCCATTAAACACAATCGAAAGTTTTGCTCAAGGTTTGAACTTAGGACACAGTAATTGGTTTCTATAAATTATGAATAAAAGTTTGCCTTCGCATCTCTTCAAAATACAATGCACACAAGAGTTTTTGTTACAAAATTAGTTACGAAGTCTTATACATGCCAATATATAATGTTACAGCTTTTTTTTATTGAAAATGCTAAGCTAATGCGGTTATGGAATCGCTCTATAAAGTACAAATGTTAATTATACCATCGAGATAAGGATCTGACTGAGTTGTTATTTAATATTCAATTAATGCAAATATATTTCTTTTAAGTTTATAAAAGTTTTATATCCTCATATATATATTTATATATATATATATATTCGTTTTATACCTTTTCATCAGTTTCCGTAAAGCATTCACCATTTAATTTATTAATGACTTGTGCCACACCAATGACATCACCGGACGAATCCTTAATTGGCATACAGAGCAATGCTTTGGTACGATAACCTGTCAGTGTATCGATTTCACAATTAAAGCGTTCATCCTGTGAAGGAGAAAATAAGAAATAAAATGGAATTCATGAGAGGAGGTTACTTTTCCTTTATGAATTTAATATCAAGCAACCCACAATGAAAGCAATCAATGATCTGCACTTTAATTTAAAGCGATTATAATTTAATAAATGCAAGTTCTTTTCATGTATAGCACTTAGGATTGCTTGAAATTTGCTTTAGTAAACTGTAATGGTTGTCCGCAAAATTCTGTGTATTACTTGAGAAAACGGCGCCAGTGTCAAGCTTTCCTTTTTGGCGAAAAGCCAGAAATTTTATCGTTTTTAATAAAAAAAAAAAAATAAAAATGTGTCATGGTATGCATGAATCTTGTATTCATCTGAGACCATGTTCGAAATCCTTAAAATCTTTACCTTAATAAAGAAAATTAAATAAATAAGCAAAAAATTTATATTCTTTTTGAGGCGACTCTCCGGTACCCATCATCCTGTGCCATGCTAGTGATTGTTGTGCTAATTGCATCTGTTGGAATTGTGTCATCCTTTAGATTAATATCTTTTGGAGACAAATACCACCTTTTTGATTTTTATCCAACGAATTTCGTTTGGCCAATCACGCCTTATTTAAATGTTCCATAAACATTTTGAATTATGTCTATGTCTTTTGTAGCATTGTAGCATTCTAGCATTGCGTGCGAGTCAGTGGTCTTACGGGAAAGAAACGCATTTTCTTCTCATACTTTTTGTAGGCTTTCTATCCTATCTAGTTTTCCGGAGCAAAAAAATTTTTCACTATCAACTTTTCTCTAAAATCCATGATTAAAGTCGCGAAAACCATTAAAAAAAATGCTTCTGGCTTGTGATCTCTTCTTGTTGTTCCTCGGAATAAGATTGTCAATCCCTACCATCCAAAAACGTATGAGATAAGCAGCGAGAGGTCTAAGACCAGGCGATAGCCAAAACACATTTATAATTCTGTTTAGAGCTGACGTTACCACATTCTTAAACACGTGAATTTCACTTGCTGCTGGCATGAAAGGAACATTGTGGAGTAAGGTGATTATGTCTGCAGCCCTTCACTCGAATTATATAGATATACACTCATGGTCCAGCTTCCCTTCTACTTTCTAGTTGCAATAATAATAAAAAATACTATGCTGATTCCAATGATATATAACTTATATGATCTCTTATTTGTGTTTCTCCACGTTACCACCGGTATGGCAAATCTAGTCTATCACGAACTTTTAGCGGCACATATAATAATAGCAAGTGAATAAAAATAAAACTCTCTTGTCAATGCATAATGAATACATAAGCATTTTGTGAATAAGTGTTAGTTTCTATCGATTTTATAATACGTATGAACGCTTATAACGAGATAATATTATCCTAAGCTGCCCTGTTTTTCTCATCTTTCATGGCGAATGTAGATTTGGTAAGAAGAGAAGACCTGGGCTTTTGAGACTAGCCACGTCGCGATCCTTGGTTTGAATATCATCATAACAGTAGACAACAAATTATCGATTAAAATATACGTTAATCAGGGGAGACAGTACCCACGTAATACAGTTAGGATTTGACCGGCACCGTATGGGCCCGAACTTCATCAGGCTCAAAAATCGTGAGCATTGTGTCTTTTTTTCAGGTCAGTTGCACCAGTTGCCGTTTACAACGTTATTAAGTTATGGCTTCCTTTTAGTTGGAGCAACTTTCTATATGCTTTACCCAGCTTACCCTTCAAACGAAAATAGCCTTAGCATAGCTTTCAGTTAATGTCACTTATTCAGAATTTTCGTATAGAGTTTTTTGCATGATGTTTTCGCAACACGCCCTTCTTAAGTGGCTGGAGAGCTTTTCCCTTTTGAAGTGGTAATGTGTCGTTGGTACCTTTTTAGATGTAAAATTTATTTTCCCGGGAGGTTTCATTACGAAATGATAAACATAGACATTAATGGGGCGTATTAGTAACAATCAGTCACAATCGGCAGCAATCGTCTTGCTAGCGACATTCCATTGTCAAACCGTGGGGACGAAGCAGATGTGTCTAAGCCACTTTATTTTACTTTAATGATATTTTCATTCTCGAGAATACATATGACGTACAATTCTCTAATTTTCTGTAGAATTCTCGCACTTGATAGGTTCCGTTACATATATTCTTGATCCGTGTGAATAGTCGAATCGATGTAGACACGTCTGTCTGCCCGCTTGGTTAATGTCTGTCTGTTGAAATCACGATGCCAACGTTTAAAAGGTTCCTTTGCAAAAACAAGCTCGGTCTCAACATTTTTTTCTTACCATATGCGGAAGGTAAGCTTTTCAAACTAAGTAATGTTGTATCAGTGGGCGATGCTGCAGTTGCCATTTAATAAACAATGGCCTGCGATAATATAAATCGAAATCTGAACAATATACGATATATAGTAAATTATACGCTAGTGGAAAAATGAAGCAACTTATGATGGTTTTGAGAAGGACTTATGTGCAAAACAATGCTTTTAAGTGCTCTTAAGGAAGTGAAGGGGAATCGCAACACCAATGAAATTAGCTCATAAACCAGTTCATCAAATTTTAATGAAATCACTGAAATCAAGTAAAATTTTTGCATTACAATAAAAATACGGTTTTGAATTTTTCGCGGCTCTCAATATCAATTTGCGTACATTCTCTTTGCAATAAAGATACGATAAAACGTTTAAAAATAAGAAGATAATAAATTAAATGAATTTGTTGAAAAGTGAAAGTAAAGCAACAGCACCTATAGTCACATTTTTAAGCAAAGCGAAAGCATTAAGACGAAAATCGAAGGAAGTAAAAAAAAAAAAAACAGTACTTTTCCACAACCACACATATATTTTAAAATTAACAGGTGAGGAATTTCGCATCGCAAAAACTTTTTCTTCTTGATTGTCAGCGACCTATTATTTCTCTCTTTTCCCTTAAGATGACTGCAATGAATATTAAGACATTTACATTCAATTCAAGTATTGATAATGCAATTGTCAACACCTGTAAGGTTATCAATAATTTAAATGGCGTGTGTGGGCGCATTTATACATTTATATATATATATATTCTAAATTCCAAATGTTGTTTTGTGGAATTAAAATAATGGTTTATTTTCCAACACTTTAAGCCCCTTTTCCGAGTTAAGTAATAAGTAAGATAATCATCCCGGCCATATTGCATTGGCTTAATCGAAGACCATAGTATAAAGTAGAGTTTCGATGACTGTAGGATTCCCAATCGTTCACCTTCCAGCCCGTCTGTCCTTTTAATTATTAGAAATATCATCATATTATTTTTATAAAAATTGAGATGGGAAGATCACAGGTGACAGGAAGATCACGTTTATTACCACTTCTGCCTTACGTAAAAAACCGTCTCTTAAAGTTCCCCACTAAATACGGATGTGTAATTGCATGCAGGAGTATGCCAGGCCTATGCCGAGGTAATGACACTCGCGATTGTCAAGTCGGTGTTCGCGGATTCGAATCTCAATACCGTAGACAGTACTTTATAGCAATTATATATGAAGTTACTTAGACCTATGTTCGAATGTTATTGCAGTTTACTCTAAACTGTGCTGTTGCTTCTAATCGATGCTCTTCTCTATAATGTCATAGTTTAAGTCTCAGACTTTAGTTCGCTGATTAGTACTTTAAATTTAAAAAATGTTGTAAAAAAAGAGCTTACTGCCTTAAGCTGAAAATTGTTTGCTTGTATTGTCCACTTTGCTAATGGACGATGTACTTTACTATAATATAATCCTGCTTTAAGCCTTTAATTTTATTAAAAATGTTACTTAGTTCGACTGAATTCATAGTATAACCAGAAAAGCATGAATAAATAAAAGGAGATGTCATTAAGTTTTCACTAAAAGCAAACAAATTTTGATTTTTCATATGTTGATCGAAAACTTTGTACAAGTATCATATAGATCCATGGAAAAGTTGCTTATGAAAAGTGAAAATGTTCCAATTGATTAACTGTGACACGCACTTGGGTAAATGTTTTAAAATTTCCATGTATGGGTTGGGAGAGTTAGTGGATATATTTTGATTTAAACTAAAATTTGAAAATTTATAACTCTTTGCATTGAAATGATTACAGCTTTACTAAACGGTGGTTTTCTAAGCATACACTGTGAACGATCACACATAAAAATTTTGTAACAGTCATTGTAAAGTCGATGAAATGTTTAAACAAGAGAGCTTAAAAAATCACTTGAACCGAATTAATTTAATTTAATGCTTGACCGAAGACTAAAATAAGGGTTTTTTTGTTTTTTTTTTTTTCATTTTCTATTTCCGCAAAGTGGTCTTAAGAGTATTTGTTCAGTTCAACTGCTATTCCAAGCAGATAAGTTTGTAATGAAAGCTTAAGTCAGCTTATGTAAAGCAATTCACATTTATGTTTGCAAAAACACAAATTACATCAATTGATATTTAAACAAATGCATGGTCTTCAAATACGATATTAAGTTAAGTATTAAGTTTCACTTATCTAATATTGCAAAAATAATGCTATTTTTATTTACTCACAGTTGTGCTTTGTAAGAAAAAGCATTTGCTTTTCTTTTTTTTTTTTCAAATATGTTTACTTATTTTTCATAAATGTTGCTTTATTAGCATAGAGATAAAGCAAACAATATATAACACGCAATGAGACAAATAAATACATACATACCTGATATGCATCTGGTATATTAATGGGTTCGCCACTCTCAGCCACGTGACCAGCAATGCCAGTACCCCAGGCAATTTGTACTTCATCTTGTTGCTCCATTTCCTCGACAGTACTGCGTGGGCAAACGTCAAACAATTTGGATACCAAACACCTGAAATGGTTATTCATATACGATAGGTAAAAAGGACAATATATTTACTTTAGTTCGCGGCATTAACACCTACTTCCAGCAAATACAACAATGGATAGTTGCAAAAAAAGAGTATTATGTCTAACAACATATAAGCACTAGTTGGTCACAAATGTAATCAAATATGAATATAATGGAATAAATTAAATATATATATGCGAAATTCAATCTCCCTTAATTTTCATTTTTTTTTTTTTTTTTTTCTTTTTAACTTAATTAAAATACGAACATCTGGGAATTTTAGCGCAATTTGAATAAATTTTGTATAAAATTTCTACTTTGAGTCAAAATATATTTAGGCCTACACCTATCGTTCTGAAATTATATTTGACCTTCAGATATTCGGAACTATTTCGACCCCCTCTTTGAACTTTGCCATGTGAAAATCGTTTAAACTGCAGTAAAGACAGACAGACAGAGGATTAAACGATTAATAAGAGAAAAATTATGACAGACATTTTATGGAAGACAATTCTCTTTTTTGCTTCGAAAGCTGTACACGCCCGCAAAGAAGAATATTTTTACGTACAACTATAAAAGACGAGGCGCACTCGAAACCGTGTTGTGTGACGAGTACAAAGAGAGAAGAGGGATTGCGTCATACCTCATTGCAGCCCGTTCTCCAATTTTTTAATAGTGGGTGCGGGCATGGAATATCCATGCTGAAATAGCATCAGACCACAAGGAATGAGAATTATGGTTTTCAATATCGAGTAAGCTCGATCGTAACTTGAATATGTTACTCGACTAGCAATATTACGATCGAAGCGTGTTTCCTTTGATAGTAAGAAAAACGCAAACTTCAGCGACAGCTATTAACTTTCTATTCTACCCTCCTCGTTACAGCGAGTCGACAATCCGCAGCTATCAAGAACCGTAAACCCATCCCAGATTGTTAAAGACAGGAAGGCATATTGGCATTATCAATTATCGAACTAATCACACTAGCTTTGTTGGTAGCGTTGCATACTTCTGGCTCCATTAGATTGGGGCAGTGCACAACACAATATGTCGGGCTCTCGCAAATAACTGTGGCTTTTGGTTTTAGCCTATTTTTGCATTTCGGTTATTGTGCAATGACCGTTTGGTATTTCCCGCTTCTAATTAGTAGCGCTTTCCTTGCACAAAAGCAAGAACGGTAATGCTCTTGGCACACAACTTAACCTGTGGTGTCTACGCTTCGGCGAGATAGCATAAAATGGAACATAGGGCCTAATAATAGTGCTTCGATATGAAAAGATCACAGTGCTACTCAATACACCGTAGTGTAGTATAGCATTCAACAGAAAACGTTAAAAATACATTTCAATATCGAACACATTAATAACTTTCCGCAGGTAATTTCTGAGTGCTACTAGCGTGAGGACGAACTGCGAGTAATCCATCGGGAGCACAAAAATGTGAATAGCGAATGGAAAAAACCAACAACATTTCTTATATTAGTGTAATTACCAAAACAAAAAAAAGGGGGGCGCAGCATTACAAAATATTTTCTATTTATATTTTAAAAAAATATATCATAAAGCCATTGTGTACCTTTTTTATGGTAATAAAACCCATGAGACACGACTTCCTGTTTATTATTATTCTCAAACAAATGATAAATTTTTCTAAATAAAAAATTTAAAAAAGATTCGACGCGTTGTAAAACAAATGGCGATATTGTTTGAAGCAAGTCGATGTAACTAGATTTATTGCCATACAGCGCAACTGTTGAAAATCATGCACAAACTGTCACTCGTAGCCGAATGTTTTGTGCTTAAGAGCTTATGCGGATACATGGAACACTCAGAAGAAATTGAGATAGGCCTACTTTTTATTATACCTATCGATTCAAATTCAGCTTTTGAATCGATTTAAGCTTGTCTGTCCATCTGTCCCTGTTGTTTTGTTGTGTTTAATATAAAGACTGCAATTTTTGATTTTGAAATAGTTTCACGAATAAGTGCAGTGTGGTGTAGGGTATTTAAAGGTTGACTATAGCCCATTATAGTGCTTTTACTTGTTTTCTATGTATAACCATATACGCAAGTCGATTGACACTATTTCCACTATTAGTTTGGTTTACTCTACTCAGATGTGTAGCGCATATACGTGGTATGCTTCGTAGAGTACGGAATATTAAATTTGTAACATTTTTCGAACGTGCTTTATGAACTGATTTATAGGCGGCGCTCATCGAAATTTAACGGACAAACGGACATGTTTAAACCGACTCATAATAGCACTAATTTCATATCCTGCGTAGAATAGGATTCATAACGCATGCATATGTTCTAATAAAAAGGTCTTTTTCTCAGCAGAGTAAATCTCCAACGTGTAACAAATTTAAAAGCTTTACGTATATGGTGACGGCAGCTTATTCAATTTTTGATGGGTTAATAAGGAGGATGTCAAGTGTCACTGAAGAACACAAGCAATTTTTCGCTTGATATGTACATGGGCATAACGTGCGTTCATAGGGGAGGATTGTGTATAATACGGCGGAAGAATTGTGATCGCATTCGTACGAATACGTTGAAAAATATGATTTTATTCTATCTTTAGCTTCACTAATTAATAGAACGCTTAAGCCTGTAGAAGAAAAAGGCAGAAAAAATATATCCCTAAAAAAGAATTTCTTATTCACCGATAACAGCATCTTGGGTCTGATTATTGAAGAAAGTTATTTTAAATCGATTTGGGGTGTGATGCGCTCACATATTTTTGTAATAGAAATGACTTGCACAACATGGATTCATACAAACGTTGATTACCACGTTGTAGGTAGATCTACTGTACAAGTATCTAAAATATTAAAAACATCTTGGCCAAATAAATGAGAAAATCGCAACCTGTTCTATTAGTATCTACCGTTATTGGAATCGACCACATTAGAGCCCCGTTACTTGGCTGAATCGACATTATTAGAATGCACACCTTATCAAAGTTCACGGTTTTAAAACCCACACCTTACCTGTTCGGCCGATCTTCTATTTAAGATCCGCCCTTACATGTTCGAATCGACCCTGCTAAACTCTACTGTTGCGGTAGACCCTATTAGAATTCACTTTTACCCCTTCTAATCTATCTTTTTAAAAGGAAAACTGGTTTATTTAACACTAGAACTGTCGCCTGAGTCGATTCGATCTTCTTCAACTTTTGTAGGTTTAAAAACTTACTGCCCAAAATTCGCTGGAATCATCTTCATGGGATCGAAAATTATAGATGAAGACCGATGTTTTTGCAAGGTTGTCTCAGTTTCTAAAGTACTGTGGGCGTGCATGTGAACAGATCGCAACCAGTTTTTAGCTTTCGGATTTTAATCGAAAAAGGTGTGTTTACGCCCAACCTCATTCTTGCGACTGTGCTAATTCGACAAAGTTTGTGGGTCAAATCGACCTATGTAACTTGTCGGTAGTTCTAGGGCTAAAAATGAAAAATATGATTTTTTAATTTTCATTAAGCAAATGGAACAAATTTTCTTGAAAAATAAAAAGAAGCTTCTGGAACAATCTTGCGTATCTCCCATCCCTAATTGAAACAATGAAATTTTGTCGGGATTGATTTCAGGCAGTTAGTTTACTTACATTAATGGAATTGGAAATGGATTAATGGAAATGTAACGAAATTTTCATTGTCTTCTAATGATTCCTCGATGTTTTAGGTACAAGTAGCTTTTCTCTGGATTTTATAATGCGTTTAAGGGATTAATAAAACGGATGTATAGCCATTTGAGGTGGGAATAAAATTGTTTTTGATTAAATTGCTTTTCACTTCACACAATTGCTTCGCAATAACTGTTATTGCCAAATACAACAACCTGCTCATAAATAAATATAATAGAAATGAATGAGTGTAGAGATGCATCCACCCGTGCGAACCTGAACAGATGCCTAGAGAAATTCACAGCATAGCCATGATTCGTGTGTACAATTTCACAATTAATTGATCACGTGAGTAGCCTTGACTCTTACAAAAGCAGAAATTAAAAGTTTTTTTTTTTTTTTTTTCTTCTTTTTTGGAAAGCTGAACATGAAATGTTCTTGAAATTGAAATTTACTGCGCCATCTCGAAACTTGTACGAATTTCAAAAGATTGCATTGAAGAGACAAAAGAATAAATTTCTAAAGATTGAAAATTATTGGGTGGTGAAAGCATTTGTTCTAAATAGCTTTCTTTCTAAACCAAACATCAACTTTTTTCTAATAAAGGTTTTTTCTCTTTTTTGTTTTGTTTTGTTCTTTCAAAACGAAGTAAAAACACTATAGCGGGAGACGCCCACATTGAATACCCTACATAACTTTAATTCATGCATTTTTTCGTATAATGACTTTTCAAAGTAAAGCTTTGCATGGGGAGCGGTGGACGAATAACTTTTGACAGATTTCCTCTTTGAGGAGACAACAAAAAATTACGATCTGTAGAATGAGCACAGAGAACACATCGGACAAACGGACAGAGGAACAAGCTTAGATGAGAATTGCTTTCTGAATCGCTCGCTACAAGAAAATGTGCGTTCTAGGTGTCGCTTACATCTGCACTAACTTAACATATCGGCGTATCACGAGTGGTGTAGGAAATAACAAAAAAATTTTAATTAAAATTTTCATAAATAACTGTGAATTATTTTTTTTTTAATCGATGGCATTATTGATACTTACTTTTTGGGATTATCATTGCCACCGCAGCGTCCTTGCACTAAGAACAATGATCCACGATCAGCATTCAGGAGAATTGAAACATTTTGTAGAATTTTGTGACATAATGTCCGAACTTCCAATTCGTTGCATATGTCCTTTACCTAATTGTACGTTTGTCAGATGAGTGGTTTTTATTTTTAACACCCGCATATGCGGTAATTGTGTTGGCAACGATAACGCCATAGCCATTTAATATGTAATGAACATAAGCAATGCAAACCATAGTTTTCGCAGTTGTCGCAAATAGCAGACGAGACCATAAAAAGGCAGCATTGAGGATAATATTGACATAAAATATAACAAGTGAAACCGAAAAAATAGAAGAAAAAAAAACAAATAAAACAAATGGAATAAAAGAGAATTCAGTTTTAAAAATAATATCATTTCAAAACAAAAGCTCAATGAAAACTGCAAACAAAAGTTATATAAACTGGCTTTTGTCACTTGAAAATAACATAAAACTTAAACAATCAAACATTTGAACTTTTGCAAACTTATTTAAATACATTTTTTTAAATTTTTCTCTATTTTTTTTTTTTTTTTTTTTTTTTTAACACAGCACAGGCAACACCTTACCAATTCAAAAATAAGTTCCTTCTCGTCTAATTGCTTTAGCTCATGACGGGACAAGCGCTGGGGTCGATAATGTGCGATGCTGGACCCCATGGGATGATTATGATGATGGGTATAACAGTTGTTGTAACAATGATGGCTATTCGTATTGTTCTGATTGCTGATGCCGACACCGCCCATACTGTTACCCGCGTTACTATTACTAAGCATACCACAGTTACTGGAATTTGTACTGCTTGCAGAGCAATCATTTTGCGTTCCTATACTAAGAAAAGTTGGTGTTCCATCAATCGTGTTAACAATCGGCTTCAATAGACCACCGCGCTCAAATTCATGTGCGGATATTTTTCTAAGAAATAAAAGGAAAAAAAAAATTGAATACTATATTAAAACTTTTTAAATAAAATTTTTAAGAAATTTACAGCAACAGCTAGAGCAGTCAGTTCAGTTAAAGGGAATCTTAAATACCTTGAGTTTAAACTTGAAATCGTTCTATAATATATGCTACAGTGCAGCGCAAACTTATGGACCGGCGTAAAAAGCACTAAGGGTAAGGTAAGCGAATATTGTAAAGAAAACTTTATTTAACAGTAAACGTATCACTAGCTCATTTCCTAACTTCCAATCGGGTGGTTTGCTACTAATACCTTCGTGTCTGCACCTGTACATGCGCATGTATTGAAAGCTCAAGAGATAAGACATTGATTCACGACAGCCGCCAAGACACTTCCCTAAAAGCTGTGTCCAGCTGGCAGGTGTACACCGGACCCAAGCGGACTTCCTATAGGCGTTACAATTCCATGGGCACGCGACATCAGTGAACAATCAAACTCCTTTATTTGCATTATCCATATGTACTGAATTGCCTTACAATAAATCTTAACGGTCCAAGATGAAGTACTGATTCAGCAATGCCAAGCACCGAATCATATTACGGCTGCTCTGACCCGCTAAGCTTGTCTGTCCGCCTGTCAGTCCGTCTGTCAGTCCTGTATTATTGTGTTTAACTTCCAAGTCGACATTTTTAAACACATCGTGTTTCGCACGCCATTACAAAAGCTTCAGATCGGATCACCTTTCCATAACACCTTTCCATAACATATGTGTATACGTATAAAGCGGAATGGTGTAGGATACTTAATCATGATTGCCGTCCTTGTATAGCGTTTTTACTGATTAATCTATAGAAAATTTCCGTTTGAAATTTCATACGAGTATTCAATTAGACCGCCTAAAATATCAGGACTAAAGCAACAACTTTAAGTGAGTTGACACGTATCCAATTAACAAACTAAACTACAAAGACAAATATCACTAGTAATAACTAGTATTGTAATGATAAAATACTTCCCGATTTTTCTATATATAACAACAAATTTGATGATTTTAAAATATCGTATCATTCGCTAAGTTACTAGGAGGACAGATAGATGTAGACTGACTATTGTTGAATCGATTCAATGTCGAAGTCGGCACCAACTAATGAAAGAGCATGGCTTAGATCAAAGCGAATCCCTGGAAGCTTTAATCTCAGTACATAAGCAAAGAAGTTTGCAGCTAATTGCAGGCTTGCCAGCCCATCATTTAAGTCCATTATTATTATATTCAATTTTTATTAAACGAGATACTTATACAAAATTGGATATCGATCAAGTCTATTTGAAAGGTATTTGATCTTTAGGAATCAATTTTATCGAATATTTCTACACAGAGAGTGTAATAAGCATGATTGAATCCATCAAATTCTTAGAGCTAGTGAAGAAGATTTTTGGATTTTGCAAAAAGCAAGACAATTGTAGTATACTCCGATATAAAAATCGTTATATGCGAAACTGTATTCTAAGTAATGCCTTTAATTAGTAAAAATTTGAAAAAAGTCATTTTAAGTTGTGATTACTTTTTATTACGAAACTGCATAAGATGAGTGTGAAGAAACTAATTTAAGTTATTCATCATCACATTGGCATGAGGCATGAGATTAAATGAAACGACCTAAACTTGCCATCATATATATATGACATATTAACAATTTCCATTGTCCGCTTCTTGTCTTTCACGTTCCCCCTGTAAAGAGTTTTGCACACAAAGTTCGTTATTGGATTTCTATTAGTTCTGTAACTCATGTTCCTGACAACGCATTAATCTAGCCCTTCGTTATTCACAATGTATTCCGTATTCCGTAGTCTTTTTTATTTTTTTTTATTTTTATTTTTCTGTTAATACAAAAGACCAGTAAATAAACTTCTATCTATACAATGTCACGCTGTCGTTACTTATAGATTTGTGTTTGTTTAATATTTTCAACAGGAGAACAAAGAACACAAACAAAGAAAAAGAATCTTCTTAAGAAGTTTTGAACAAAACTGTCAATAAAACTGGTTAAAAATTCATTACTAACCTATAAAGAATAAACAAAACTATGCCAACTATTGTATTAAACATTAATCAGGTTACATTGCTTCTATACTATAGCGTAATATATATACAGTGAAATGTGTATGAGAATTGATGTCAATGAAAAATTTATAAATCAAGATAATAATTGCAAGCTATAGAATTGCTCACATTATTAAAGGGTTCACTGTTGACAGGCCTTTAGGGACCGGTTAGAACTAAACAATCACTAAAATTACATTAGCACATAAATCTGCATGCGTTGTGCATGTTGTTGTTATGTCTTACAATGTTGCTTGTAAAATATGGTAAAACATAACAAATACGTTTAGCATACTTTTTTTTAAACAATCCATACCCATACGGATAGGAACACTTCGGTTATGCGAGTGTTTAAATTTGTTATCAGCAAATATCAACAATGTAAGCCGGCTCGGCAAGTATATAGAGATGATTTTAAAAAATGTCTGTACGTGTTGTAAGCTATTTAAATAAAGACATTAAAATTCCAACGAAACAAAGCTGTCGGCAAGCAACGGATTAAAAAAAAAGTGTAACGCTTAACTATTATTATTGTTATATATATTTTTGAAGTTTTTTTTTCTGATACAGGCCTTAAGGCGAATCTTTAATATTTATCATTTCAAATCTATCCGTTGGAATTGAAAAATAAGTTTTTAAATGCAGCTATTTTTCGGATCGCATTTTAAAACGTCCTCTATACGCTTGCAGCTAAAAATTTTCTATTTTTTGTCAGCGTCTAGATCAATCATGGCTGTTTTAACACTTGATCAATTGTTTTGTGCTTTACATGACCAAATGACAGGGGAAAAGACGACCACGATTCGCATTTCAGAAATTTTTGGAAATATAGTCACGACATCGGCTGGTATAGGCGAAAATATGAAAAAAAATTTCGACGTGTTTTGAACTTTCTCACCTACTGTGGGCGCCAGTGTGGGCAGATCACAAATATTTCTTGTGCTAAACTTCAGGTTTCATCGGCATTTCAAAAAGTGAAGTAGATATAAAAAACCGATTGAAGATAGCCAGAGGTCTTTTCGTGCAAATAAAAGCCACAAGAAATTATTGACATAATATATGTCTTATAAACATTTTTTTGAAGAATCGAAAGATCGAAAATTAAGAAGCATGAAAATCACGTAATTTATGATCGGTATTACAGGTTGATGATACATTTTGGAACACAGATCGTAAGCGTTTTTGTAGGCAAGTCACGAGTATAAGTAATATGCGTCAGTGTCAGTTAGTGATTGCGGCGCAAAGTTTTCATTAAAAAAAAAAGTTTGAATGTAAGCTAAAGTTCTAAGCAAAAAGTTGTATAATTTTGGGACCATAGTCTTATTTTTTGATAGGTGTATTTAACCGTAATAGTTCCCGCTTGTACGAAAGAGAGGGGGCTTCGTTGCTTGATCTGTTTCCGTCGACGCCTTTTCCTAGTCCTAGGTATAAAAACGAGTCTGCATCGCCTTATATGTGATAAATTGATTTCAATCAAAAGCAAGTAAGTTTCTGTTAATAATAATCGTGTTATAGGAGGCAAGCAATACATTTATATGTATATATGTAAAGCTGAGCTATTTGGTTTCACTATTTAATAGACACACCTCGTATATGTATACGAAAGTTAAACGTTGCAATAAAATATCTCAAACATGTATAAGAAAGACGGTATTAGCCGCGTTTAAAGTTGTTAACAAACATATTATCACATGCATTATATAAGCATAATCAATGAACGCAGTTTCTTGCCTCATCATTTCATTACTTTCAATTCGATGTAGACAATTTTAATTACTCAATTCTTAAGAAATTATCATCGACGCAGCTTGAGAATGTATTGATTTTCAGTCTCATAAAGAGAGAGAGAGAGAGAGAGAGACAACAACGATAACGTCTTAAGCATGTAATTATAAATAATACGTAACGTAGTAAACTTACCGAACTGGTGTTGTGGCTCCCGAGCCACCGCGTGATGAGCAATTTTGTCCATTGGGATGTGTATGCGTGGGTGAAGAATTACAGCAAGAAGCGTCATTGCCAGCTGTAGTCGCATGTGAGACTAACCAGGCATCAACAACTTGACGTGTGGCCTTTCTGTAATTTCCCGGCAAAATAGTAAAAAAAAATGAAAAATAAAAAAAACAACAACAACAAATAATAAAAGTAAAATAAAATTAATATAAAAAAAGAAGAAAAAATTGAATTGAAAGTAACTTCATCGAGAATACAGGTTTTTGAAATAATTTACTCGTAAGCAAAATGTTTAGATGGATGTATGATGAAACGTGTACAGTGTAAGTGGGTGCAAAGTAATTGTTTCAATATCGCGTATACGCGACATGACGTAAGGTAAAGAAGACAAAGCACAATAACCTCTTGCTTGCGCAAGGGTTTAACTATTAAATGGTGGGTGTTAGTTGTTTTTTTTTTTTTCTCTTTTTTCTGTTTAAATGTGTGACTAAAATTTACATGAATCAATGACGAAAAACTGCATACTTAAGTATTGTAACAGAAGGCAAACAATACACTTTCGAATGCAAACGTTTTGGCATTTGTATTATTTTCTTACCTTATAAAGTAATCTTGCACGAATTCTTGGTTCTCATCCATCCAAGCTTCCATTCGTGCATATTCTGCATCATAAACTTTTTGTGGTGTTAGTGGGTGTAATATTTGTTGTTGCTGTTGCTGTTGTTGCTGTTGCTGCTGTAGTTGCTGTTGTTGTTGCTGCTGATATGCGGTTAGGGGGACACCGGCATGAGAACTATGTTCGCTACCATACCCTGTGCCCCCCAACTTTATCGGCATTCTATTGCTACCCACACTAAAGCAACTATTACCAATATGGTGGTGTTGTTGTGTATGCTGTGCGCCGTATAATTGTGTTGTTGGCTCCTCTATGCTACGCAAATGCAAACCTAAAATAAGAAATTTTGTTTTGTTTCTTTTTTTAATTAAATTTTTAAGTTTTACTGGTTATTTTAAATAAAATTTTTTATTATAAACCCTAAAAAACCCACGAAATGACTTCAACTAACAGTAGTTTTGGCAGAAGCTATTAAATCAACGCAAGTGAAAAATTTCGAATATTTAGAGAAAACGTAAATACAGAGGAAAGACTGAGCCATCAGGCAGAAGCTCTGAACGTCACCTCTACATTTATTATGTTATTTGATAAGTCCTGATGTACGCTACGTTTTACGATATTAAGTTTTCAAAGTATTTATTTAAGAAAAGTATTTTATCGAGGAAATTTCGAGAGACCGATTTGTTACCGAATATCTGCCCGAATTTTCATGCATCCATTTCTTCATGTAAAATTACAGTAACACAAGTCAGATCCTGCTTTTCCCAACTTATGCTTACAGTTGTTACGCGTGCAAAATGCCAAGTTGTGATGGAGTTTTTGATCCCAGTATTCACATAAGAGATTCGGAGACTAAATGATGTTAACATGCTCATGACAGACATTATACAATTGCACAGTGGAATAGTTCAACCAATCACATCTCTGATAAATTACAACTTTCTGTGTGCACTCTCATTAGACATTAATGTAATTAATTGAATTAAAATTAAACCAGTGAAGCGAATAATTTTAAAATCAAATTGTATGTAACTTTTTTGCATGACAATGCAAAAGGGGAGCGCCATTGAATAAGCTTAAGTGTATATGGAAATGAGAAAAAGGTTCTTTTTCGATAATTTATAAAAAATACGATTTGATCCAGATCACTTATCGAAAAATTGCTTTCGAATTAAAACGAATCTTTACATCTTAGAAACAAATGCATGCAATTACATCTAATGAATCATTTCCGTTTTCTGAGAGGTTACGTAGAAAAACAGTTAAAAGAGAAATTAAAATTTCTACCTTATTGTACTTTAGAATATATCGCTACTCGATCCATCGAATCGATGATTTCACTTTTTACGTAGAAAAAGAAAGCTAAAGCAGTGGAGTACAAGATCTCTGAGAACTTGTCATACAACTGAAAAAATTCCATGAAAGCGGTGGGAAGCTGAACTTCCTTATGATGGTGGTGATGGACTTATGAATATATTTTAAATGAAATTCATTTCAATATGCAAGCTTTTCTCTTCAGTATGGCAACTTATACCGAGTAATGCCTTACGAGCTGAGATTGCAATTAGAATTATATGCAATTAAGTTTCGGTGAGTTCATAGCTCAAAGACTTATTATTAGTATTAAAAATGGCGTTACTTTTTCCTAAATTTATATAAAGAAAATGAATATATATGTACAGGTCCGAGTTTCTACATACGAACGTTCAAGCACTTAGTACACTTTATTTACATTTTTTTGAAAAGAGTGAATAGGAATTTTTATATCGGAAGAGGTAAAAAAATGGTCTCATTCGACTCAAATTTTGCACAACAATTTAGTTCGCTGAAATACTAAACAGTCAGTGATTTTTGTCGAGGAATTTTTTATATTGTAAATTTTTATCGCATATGGACTTTCTGAATGTAAGGCGTTATATGAGAAGTGATTGTTAATAGATTTCGATACGATCTATTTTTAATAGCATCATCGTTCATCAAATACTTTAGAAATTTCATCAAAATACCGCAGGAATTGTAACTTATAGGTTTAACACCCGACAGGAATCTCCATTCCATCATTCATCCTCACGAATCTAACACAGTCTGTGTCACAGTGTAGGGTATAAAATGCAAAAATTTTGTTTTTTAGAACAAATACTAGGAACATTCTTTATATGTAATATATATACATACAATATATCTGCATATTTTATTTATAGAAAGGATTACATACATGTATATATATATATTATTAATTTTTTTTTATTTAACAAAAAAAAAAAAAAACCAAACGTAGATAACATATTTTGTTTATTTTTTTACTTTGTCTTCTACGTAATGAACTCGTATGATCTATAACATCCGTACATGAAACCTTCCGTCACGTCAAGCTTATCCGCATTATCCACATCATGTAAATATATATGCAAACTAATTCCTCAAATAGACAACATTTGACACTTGAAAACTTTTTCAAGTACTTCATTTACCTTATTGTAAAGAAATGTGTACGTAAATGTACATTTGATTGTATGCACCAAGTACAGTATGCTTATGAACGTAAATGTACATATATGCCTGAATCTGTGCATATGTGCTGCTTCTAAGTTGCTATTTGTGTTCTATGCAATAAGTATCTACTTAAAAACGAAAGTAGAGAGAAATAATTTACCATAAGCACATATTTTTCAAATAACAAAACTGAAATACATTTACATATGCAAGCAACGTATGTATCTTTATAGTACTTTTGAAAGCATTCAGTAAATATTTAACATATGAAAACCATTTCTCTAAGTTATGTGTACTTATGCGTGTGTGCACCACAGCAATAAAATAAAAAAAAAAGGAAAAAAAAAATTACCACAAAAAAGCTAATGTTTCAATATTTACTTTTGGTCTTCACATTTTGCTTTACATGGCAGCAAACACATACATACAGTCTCTGCACTCTGCACCTATATATATATATATATATATATATATATGTGTGTTCTATTTAGTTTACCCTGAGCACAATTTTTACAAGAAGTTTTTTTTTCAAGCTTTTGTATAACTTTTCCTTTTATTCGTTTTCATTTTTCTTCTTTGCTGGTAATCTTTTTTTTATGTTTTTAATCTACATTGAGATATAAAAGTTAGGCAAGTTGGCATGAATACTCTGCGCTCATGTATATACCAACTTAATATGTGGTGAAAAATTGCATTCCTTTTGGATTTAGAATCTAATGAATGTGTATTTTTTGTTTTTTTCTTTCTATCTTTCTTTCTTCTCTCTCTTTTCAATCTTGAAAATACAAAAAAAAAAAAACGAAAAGAATTTAAAGATGTCAGAAATTTTACTTTATATTAGGAGATAACAATCAACTTAGTCTAAAGGCAGATGAATATTATACATAAATACATATGTGGATTATAGTAAATTGATATAAATAAGAAATGAAATCATTTCATATCTATTTCATAGCGTCATAAATAATAAGAAAGAAGTTATGCTAGGATAGAATCGGATATTTTAGTACCTAAGAGAAGCCAGTGTACGTTATTTAATTAAGTATTACAGCGAGAGTCAACTGACTCGATATAACGATCGTGTTTTATATATTTATTAATAAAACTTTGTTTGATTTGGCAGCACTTTGCAAATATGTGTTCGAACTAAACACCATAACCCATCCTGTTTTTACATGAATGTGTTTGTGAGTCAACCCTTGCTCCAATTTTGCTGACTTTGAAACTTAACGTTGCTTGATTGAAAACCAAACTAAAGACTTACAATTTTCAAGCCATTACTTGGAGAAGAGATTGCTTTTTTGGTCACAGCGACTCGGCCCCTTCACCGATTAGATTGCTTTTCGCATTCATAATGACGGAAGTGTCGAAAGAATATTTAAGAGCAAGCTTATGCCTTTGCTTAAAGTTGTAAGCTTATGATCCTGGGCTCAGCGACCGCTAGTCACACCCTTTTGATATAATTTCAACATTCACTTTGCCCTGCACAACTTATGTTGTAAGATATAGAGAGTTTTTACGTAAGTATGTAGCATCCAGAATGACTTCACCTTTTATTTTGCCGATCAATTCAAAATCATTGAGTAGTAAGCTCTTTGGCAAAAAATATCTGTGGTTTGATAACGAAAATTGGTTCGAGGCGCTCTCATCAAAAGTTAGTTAGTCTTTGTGCGGCGACAAAGTCTTAGTCTATAGTTTTTTATGGTACAGACAAGTGGGAAAAAATGAATTAAGTTTTGGACACTAGCCAATGTGAGGCCATTCATCAAATTGAATGCCTTTACATGGAAATAATGTAAAATTTTGGTTGCATGATGATGAAAATGAATAAATAACTTTATTAGGCGTAGTGATGCAGGTTGACCTAAATGTGTTTGATGGGTTCTTCAATGCTTGTTAACAAGCGTTGCGTCAGCATCCAAGTCACTTAAAAATTTATGACATCCGCTCAGAGATTTTTTTTTTTTTACTATTCACACAAATTCAGCGAATATCAAAGATGTAACAGCCGCAATCTTTTTGGTCTCTTTGAAGATTATTCGAAACAAGAAAATCCTCCTGCATCAACCCACACTTCGCGGTCACTCTGTGATAAATGCACACTTCGTAAACACTGTGTCTGATGCTTTATGCTGGCAAGCCTTTAATTGAAAAAGAAAACGCAGTGGCAATAACATGATATTTGGGCGAAGAGGAGAAGCGAGAGAGAGAGAGAGAGAGAGAGAGAGAAAGGGAACGACGCTTGTTGGATCTATTAATTAAATCACTATTTTGTGTTTTTCTAATATTTTATAATCTTAGAAGAACTCGAAGCATACCGTTGGTGTTAGCATTTCAATATTTGTGAGCTTTAATTTAAAAGTTACTAAGAAGTGTTAAGTCATGCCTAACTAAATGAACTCCAAGTCTTCATTGATAAAGCTACAAATAAACACCTGACCGTAGTTTTATTTGTTGATGATTTAACTGCAACTTATTTAATTTTTTTACGACTTCGTTATGGCATTTTCGCTAATAACTTATTTACGTATAAAAGCCTGACCTAGGTGTAGCTTAATGACTGTGTCCGTAGGTATGCTCTTTAATAAGACGTTACCAATTATTTTTAAAATTATTATTACGATAATAGTAAGAATTTGACATTGGTTTGATTTTTGAATTATTACATTTACATTCATGTGACCTTGAATTGGCTTTAAAAACGTTTTATAAATTAATAATTTCCTTAACTAATAATGAATGTAACGAGCAGGTTACGTTCTCTTAAACTTACTATTATTATTGATTCGTACGTATTAACTAATTAACTTTTTCTTTGATTTCTCTTATCTTTCTATC